GGTGAAGCTTTGGTGTTGAAGCTTTTGTTGGGTACCATGAATTGATTTTGCTTCACACTATCTTGATCAAGATAGTGTGAAGCTTTTGAGAATTTGCAGTTGTCTTCCATTGATGAAGCTTTTGTTGGTGAAACTTTTGTGTTGAAGCTTTATAGGTGAAACTTTGGAGTTAAAGCTTTTGTTGGGTACCATGAATTGATTTTGCTTTACACTATCTTGATCAAGATAGTGTGAAGCTTTTGAGAATTTGTAGTTGTCCTCCATTGATAAAGCTTTTGTGTTGAAGCTTTGTAGGTGAAGCTTTGTAGGTGAAGCTTTGGAGTTGAAGCTTTTGTTGGGTACCATGAATTGATTTTGCTTCACATTGTCTTGATCAAGATAGTGTGAAGCTTTTGAGATTGTGGTTGAACTCCTTTGATGAAGCTCTTGTTGGCACCATAAATTGGTTTTGCTTCACACTGTCTTGATCAAGAGTGTGTGAAGCTTTTGAGAATTATGGTTGAACTCCTTTGATGAAGCTCTTATTGGCACCATAAATTGGTTTTGCTTCACACTGTCTTGATCAAGAGTGTGTGAAGCTTTTGAGAATTGTGGTTACCCTCCATTGATGAAGCTCTTGTTGGCACCATAAATTGGTTTTGCTTCACACTGTCTTGATCAAGAGTGTGTGAAGCTTTCTACGAGTTGTAGTGTTTGCATTGTTACAGAGGAGAAATTTCTGAAGCAGATGTAAGAGGGCTGAATAGCTTGATCTTCGTATGCCATACACTGAAGTTGTTGTTGGCTTGCAATAAGACTTTGTTGGTGACTATAACTCTTGTTGGGCATAAGTGCTCCCCTAGTTGAGTTGTCAAGCTTGAGGGTTTTTGATTATTTGTGAATGCTAGGAGTTCACATGTACAAGTTGTACCACTCGTCTTTTGGTAGGTGGAATGAATGGTGAGTTGCTTTCATCACTTGGTTGGTGGTACGAAGGTAAGTTCCTTCATCACATTTCATCACCTGGTTGGTAGCACAAAAATGAGTTCCTTCATCACCTGGTTGGTGGCATGAGTGGCAAGTTGCCAAATGATTTAGAGTATGGGTTGTACATTTCATCACCTGCTTGGTGGCATGAAGAAGAGTACGGGTTGTACATTTCATCACTTGGTTGGTGGCATGAAGATGAGTTCCTTTTTCACCTGGTTGGTGACATGAGTGGCAAGTTGCCAAATGATATTAGAGTATGAGTTGTACATTTCATCACCTGGTTGGTGGCATGAAGATGAGTTTCTTCTTCACATTTTATCACCTGGTTTGTGAGAATAAGGGCAAGGTGTCGAGGCACATTGTAGCAAGCTTTGTTGAACCCTTTTCGAAACACAGTTGGCTTATGTATGGATGTGTTGTAATGTATGATGTTTATGTATGAATGTGTTGGAATGTATGATGTTTATGTATGAATGTGTTGGAATATATGATGTTTATGTTGATTGATATGAGTGATGCTTATGAATGTCTTGCTATACATGAAGGGATCCATGCTTTTAATATGTGAACCATGTTGGTTGTAACACTTAGTATCACATACTTTGTGTCAAAGTACGCATGTTGAAGCTCTGAGTTGGAGTATAAGGGTAGGTCAGTGTAGACTAAGTGTTCCAGTGATAGGAACGCAAAAGACTCATTAGAAGTTGTCTGAATTCCCTCTTCTTTAAATATTTGCCAAATCGCTTGTGTGATAAAAGATCTCAAGCGGTTGAGAGTCAAAACATTTTAATGTGTATGCCTTCTTATAATAACATTTCCTTTAGTACCTAGTCTTTCACTTTGAAAGAGTGAGGCTTGGCCTCATAGTCATAATAGTCGACAGTACGTTCACCCCTGGTTGTTTTGATACGAACTTTTATCCCTCTTGTTGTAATGGGCTTGCTGAGAGTAAAAATCCTTCCTCTTACCAAGAGATAGATACGTTTGGTGACTTAACGAGTAGCTAAATGAGGCAGTAGATGATGCAATGGGTGTCTGAATGGCCGAGATCTCCTTACTTGGTAGAACTTGACTTTCACTTCCCACTTGTTGATAGGGGTTAACCATATGGGGGTTCCCTTGGTATGTCCTTGCTTCGGCGGAGGCGTGGTTGTAAGCCTGTACCATCACCTCAGAGTAAGTCTTCCAAGTGTTGGCATTGATCATGTACTTGAAGAAACAATCATGTATGCCTTGAGGGCGGTCTTGTCATCTGCCTCAACATAGCAAGAATACTTATGGCTGAAGCGATCGGCATACTCTCGTAGTGACTCGTCCCGCTTCTGGTGAATAGTGTACAAGTCATCTGCAGAATGCAAGCGATCGGTCTGGAAGATGTGTTGAGAGACAAACAGTTTCCTTGAATGAGTCTACTATCTCAAGTGGAAGACGACAATACCAGTTTAGAGCTCCGCTAGAAAGGGTGGAGGGGAAGAGAAGACATCGCTCTTCGTCGGTGTGCATTCGATATGCCATGGTGGACTCAAAGAGGTTAAGGTGTTTAATTGGGTCCTCCCTTCCAGTATAGAGTTATAAACCAAGCTTTTGTTTTTTCTTCGCTTGAAGGGGGGTGTCGAGGATCCTCCTTGTGAGAGGGCCAGGCCTAGGTTGGTTCCAGTCAGGTATCTCGGCCTAACGTTCAGCCTTCAACTTGTTTACTTCCTCAATGAGCTGTAAGACAAGGGGATCCTGAGTGGAGTCATGTACCACTGGAATTTTCTTTCGTAAGTCTTCATCGCCTCTTGGAAGTAGGAAAGTTTGAGCAAGGGCGTGTGGTTTTTTCTTGGACTCACCGTACTGACTTCTAGGGCGAGTCTGTCGGAATACCTCAGAGTCCCTTGTACCTTCATGTTCCTCTGGGACCTATCGTTCTTTCCCTAGATTGGCAGCTGGCCTGGGTCGTAGGATGGGACCGAGTCTTTCAGAAACCCTTGGGTCATTGATCTTCGAGCATATGTGGAGGGGATTCTCTCGACGTTGCTTTAGTAAGTCTCGGCAGTCACGATAAACGGCTTTCGATCCTTCCAACCCTTCTGCAATGAAGTGTTTTCCTCCACTTCTCCTGCTTCGGGTCAAAGCATCTGGGTTGAGAGAAGTCTCATGTTGATCAATGTTTTGATGATTAGCTTGCTCCTCATTAGGGATACCCATGTCGAAGGGAGGTAATCCGCCGTTTTTTGGGGCACCCAGATGATGGTTGATGTCCACAGAGGCAACAAGCTCGCGTGTTTGAGTACGCCTAGTTTCGTAGAGCGTCTCAAAGAGCTTCTCATACTGCTCCTGGAGGACCACATTTTTCATTACTATCTTGTGGTTCTAAGCTTCTAGCTCATCGACTTTAGCTTGAAGAGCAACCCTCTTTCTTTCCTTCTTTCGTTGCTTCGCACTAGGTGCAAGAGGGGTGTCATTTTGTGTGCTGTGGCTTCCTTTGCTCCCCATGTTGGAGATGGATGCCTGGTCAAAAGAGAGTGTACGAATGGTGGAAACCATCTTGGCAAAGATGAAGAGAGTGGGAATAAGTGTCGTTCCCACAGACGGCGCCAAATGTTGATGCACAAAATCAATGGGAACTTTGGTACAACAGAAAGTATGACCTTCGTTAGATTGCTCCGGTCACTAGTGTGGATAAGTATGCAAATGGATAAAGATAGGGAAGCAAACACAAGATGTACGTGGTTCACCCAGATTGGCTACGTCCACGGAGTAGAAGAGTTCTCATTAATTGTGAAAGGCTTACACAAGTACATAGGTTCAAGCTCTCCTTTAGTGAGTACTAGTGAATGATTTAGTACAAATGACATTAGGAAATATTGTGGGAGATAGAAGAGTTTCTAGCTTTATTCTGACATTGACACATGTCGTGTTGTGATTGGCTTCTGATGTTGACACATTTCGCGCTGTGATTGGCTTCTGATGTCGACACATGTAGCATTGTGATTGGCTTCTGATGTTGACACATTTCGCGCTGTGATTGGCTTCTGATGTCGACACATGTGGCATTGTGATTGGCCTCCTGGTTGGAGGGAAACTCTTTTGGGTCCTTGATGGTATAACGTTGACCGGTACTTAGTAGTTTCGGGATTGGTCAAGTATGGTACAAACAGTATATAAACCAATGCATTCAAAGCAAGCGGTAATAATTTTTGGTTAATCTCTAAGCAAACTTTTGACACTTAATTAACTCAAAATCATGCATACTTTGCTTGCAGGTATAATGTACTCATGGATTTTCCTCTAACTTTTGACATAAACAGACTCGTTAACGGAGGCCCGTAAGTGATGCATCCTTCATAGTTCCACTCTACACCTTCTGATTATATCCCCATGAAAACATGCATGCAATGTTCTTAAATATATTGCTTGATGTGCTGGTTTTGATATGCAGATTATTAGAGTACAATCATGAAGGATATGCACGAATCGGTGCGATGCCACGCTACGGCAATGCAGATTCAACACACTGGTTTAAAGTTGAACCCAATTGCACATTTCACATAATCAATAGTTTTGAAGATGGTGATGAGGTAACTTAAACAAATTGGCAATTTTATTTGAACTTTGACAATTTTGGAGGAATAATAATCCAGTAATTACTATTTGTATACATAAAACTGAGATGCATTTTTTGACATGCTGTTTAATAGAGGTGGGTCGTTCCTTTGTATGTGAGACCACTTATATTAGAGTGTATATCAGCAAATGAGTCATTTTTGTGAGTCTAAAGCTTTGCTCGTAATAATCAGTAGACTTCTCTAATTAACTTGTAAGCCAAACCGCATTTGGTATCTAATTTTTGTTTGTTGGATGAGCAGGTTGTAGTGTGGGGTTGTAAAGCTCTGGACTCAATTATACCAGGACCTGACATGGCATCGACTCAATTTGGGTGGTTGCCAAGAAAATTTAAGCCTACAAGTCCAAGTAAAGAAAATGATCATGATACTATCTCATCAGTCGACTATGGAAACTTATTTTTCATGCTTATGAATGGAGATTAAACATGCAAAGTGGGGAAGTCAATGAGAGATATCTCACTGGAAAAAGGTTTTGTATGGATTTTTCCATGATCAATGGAGCTTTCTCCGGCGTTAAAAATAGATATGGCTACGCCCAAGTGGTTGATTCCGTCGCAAGCTCTGCCTCAGGTAATTAGGGTTAATCTTTCCCAAACAATAACTTAACTGCACTCTCTAATTAAATTGCTCTTTCTCAGACCATTACTGGTTATCTATGGCGGTATGTCTCTCAGGCATGCTCAAATATAATGGTCTAGCCAAGCTACACTTTGAAGAACCAGCTGATGTTTCTTTGGTATAATCAATTAGGCCTTGACATGTTTTCATTATAATTTTTCTCCTGCAATTTTATGCATGAATATGTGACTAACATTCTTTATTATTTTATTTCATGGATTACTAGAGAAGTGAAGGCCAATTAGAAGAGGCAATAAAGTTGGAAACTCACATGTTTGAGGAGAACAGCTTTTGCACTGGAGCTTCTTTTGTCCCAAAACAAGGGGGTTTTGAAGAAGATGATGGATGGCTTATCACTTTTGTTCACAATGACGATACCAACATATCTCAAGTAAGTCTATCAGTCTATAATAATATTTAAAGTCTTGTTTTTAGAAATTTTGTTATTTTGTTTAGATTGATTCACACTTATATGCATTGAAGTGCTAACTAGTATAACTTAATATATTTTCCTTTTAGGTTTATGTGATCGAGACAAAGAAGCTTTCCAATGAGCCTGTTGCCAAAATTACATTGCCCTGTAGAGCTCCATACGAATTTCATGGAGCCTTTATGCCAATCTCATCACCCACTTATGATTAGTTTGGTATTGTTACGCTTTTTTAAAATGTGTTTGTGTTGTCATAATAAACTGTTGTAAAATAAAGTAGTTGTTTGATTGGTAAACTCTAGTTGTAAAGTGCTTGTAACAACAACAACAATAAAATAAAATAAAATAAAAAAACCGGCGTGAGTTTTGGTAAATTTTTTATAAAGGTGTTGTGGTTGTGTGAAGTGATTGAAATAAGTATGATCGTGAATATTAGATTATTGTTGCCGAGGAAAATAATTTGATAGAGAATGACAGAATTCTATTAGAGAAATTCTTGGTATGTTACAATGTGATGCATACTGTGACTATCTTGACAAATTACACAAATACTCCTAATTTAATAAGGAGAGTCAACTGAAGAATGAATTGTCTAACGGTTACAATAGATAATTGAGGAATGAATGGTCTTCACACTTATACGTATGAACCCGACTATCACACTATGGGCTCAATAATCTCATGGAGGGTCTTAAGGTGAAATTTAAGTTCTTATCTACAAATATAAAATACCTGTGATGCCTCAGGTCTAAGAACTACATGCATACTACAACCATAAGCTTTGTAACATGTGGTAAGCTTCCATACGTTTAACCTTCTTGGACAGTCAGTGTTCAGTGAACTTGTCCAACAGACAAGCACCTGTATATCCATCACGTGTCCAACACGTAGGGGTGGAAAAAATTCCCGAAAATCTCAAATCGAACCGAACTGAAAAAATCCCGATCCCAAATAAAAAATGTCCCAAACCGAAATTCTCAAAATTTTCAGGACGCTATCCCGAACCGATCCTGAAATTTTGGTACGAGATTCGGGATTGTCTCCTCAATATTTCGGGAATGCCATACCAAACCAAAAAATATATATTATTTATTTATTATTTATATATATATACATATAATTTTTTTATATACTATATATATTATTTTTTTAATTATAGTTAGACTTAATTTCAACCATTGGATTGATTCGAAATGATATGTGTCATCCATTCATTGTTAGGGTTCTCCAGCCTTCTCTCTCCATCGTTTGTTCATAACTTTCAATTCAATTGAAGGCAACCTCCCTCCCTTAGCTACCGAGCCCTTTCCTCTTTGTCTCGAATTTGAAGCTCAACTTTGGCCAGTCACCGGCCCACCACCACACCATACTATTACTATCGTCTTCGACTGTGGAGCCTTCTTTCACCACACAGAGCCACCGCTTTCTCTCTCACGATTCTCTCCCAGGATTCTCTCTATCAGACACTCAAAGTCTAAGAGTTATCTTCATCCAGTGCACTGTGCACCGATTCTCCCCCAAATCTAGTAAATTTTGGAATTAATTTAGGGTTTGAAATTTAATTTAGAGTTCGAATTCTAGATTAGGGTTTGTGAAATTTGCTCATGTTTTGGATTGGATGTTCATGATTCCAGCCCTTATTTAATTTCTATATTTATGTTTGGGTGAACTGCTGATTTAGTCCCTGAATTATCACCTAAGTGAAAATTAAGTCCCTGAATTAATTTTTTCAGAAAAATAGGTCCTTAAACTCATTACAAACAGCCAATTTCATCCTTGCTATTAGATTTCAAGCTTTTCCATCCAATTTTCTGTTAACTTAGGTCATGTGACTTGCACATGACACAATTTGAAGGATAAAATCGTCATTTCATTGCTCATGAAACACAAGAAACATCCATCTCCTCACTTTTCCCACTCAAATTTTCCCAAAATTTGAAATTATAAAGCCTAATTTGCAACTTTTTAAGCTGGGAATCCTATACAAACATTAGGGGCTTTCGATTTGACCATCCCAAAGCAAATTTCATGAAAATAATTTCAACTCTCAACAACAAATTTCATTAAAATAATTCCATACTATATTTTCTCTATTTTCCATCCAAAAATAAAGTCTAAGGCACCAATTCAACTTCGTGCCAATAACATAACAAAACAAGGTTAGGCAAGCAAAGCAAGTCATGAACTGCCTTTCTTAAGTCCTAGGCAATGTTTTACAAAACACTGATTTGTACCTTCTTGGTTCTCCAATTATAACTGATTGGCCTTGTAGCACTTCTTCACTTCCTCTTGGATGCATCATAGATTGGTGCTGGTATCCCCCTTCACTTGTAGTCCTTGTAGTCTGGACAACATGGCCTCCTCTTTTAACTAAACTTTCTCTACGAACCTATATGCAAATATCAAACATATATTCTTACTGCCATGCACATTGAATATTAATATCACTGATTCAATTTCATGAAAAGAAAAAAAAATGAAAAAAAAGAAAAGAACTTGTAACTTGGCCTTCCTCAATGGTCTAGTTTGGGATGCATCATTAGAGGTTGTATTTGTCTCTGATGGTTGCCTTGGATTAGCACTTGTGGGCTATATCAAATGAAAAAAAATTAAAAGAAGATATTCACAAACACCTCATGTAATTAATTTCTCTCATTTCAAAATCAAACTGATTGCAAGTATACTACAAAAAAAATCATACCCTTCCCCTTGTCCTTCTAGCTCTACCTTTTCCCTGCATGTAAGAATTTATTGTTTCCATTAGTTGAATATATCAATGGAAAAAATACATGGGTTACAATATTAAATACTTACTTGTCCATTGTTGCTGCCTTCTCCTTGTTTTAAAGGACATTTGGAAAAATTATGTGCATCTGAGCCACAAACTAAGCAATGCATGATTATATCATACCTCTTCAATTTAGTAGCACCTTTTAGTATCTCATCTTGCCCTTTATTCCTACTTTTTTTTTTGGTCTTCCAGTTTGCTTGCGGTAATAACGAGGCTTAATGGGTCTATTAACATTTTTTTCCAACAAATCTTAGCCAGGCATTAGGGAGAGAAAATTCCCATAAGCTCTGTCATATGCCTCTCTTTTGTATGTTGGGTTTACATAGTCGATTGGACTCCTCTGTTGTCTAGTAATTGCGGCCACGACATGCCAACAAGGAATACCACATAGGTCCCATTTTCTGCATGAACATGAGTGTCTATTTAAATCCATTGCATATTGTGCCCCATACATGTGTGTCACCTGAAACTTGCCTCCCCCAGCATTTTGAACAATGCAGGATCCATTCTCTTGAGCAATCTTTTCCAAAATCTTAACAATTTTAGGTCCAACCTTTCGATGCCATTTCTCTTCTCTTTTTCTTGCCATTCTCAACATCAAGTAACTATGAATTCTCTGTAGCATTATCAATATAAGCTTGTCCCTTGCTTCTAGAATTTTAGAATTGAAGCACTCACACAAATTATTTAGCGAAATATCACACTTAGAACCAATGGAGAAGTATGACCTGCTCCAATTTTTAGCTGGCCTTTTTACCAACTAGTCATGCACTTTCAGATAGCACCAAGATCTTATCCATCTTTGCTTGCCATGTAGGAATAGTAGTGGCTGTGGAGCCAAAAATATTCACAAGGCGACACGTGGGTTTTTTGGACAAAAAGGACAAAAATACCCCCGAGGCATATCGGGTCTCCTACACGCGAGCAGTGGAGAATTATCCATCAACCAAGGCAGAAGTACCCAAAATGGGTAACAATTCAAAACCTATTTCATATATGTTTTTACCTCATTTTTTCCTTATTCAATTAGCCATTTATTTCAAACATTCCATAACCATCAAAACATTCCTTTATGTTTAAATTAGCCAATTAATCATAATAAATTGGCTAATTAAACCTAAATTAAACCTAAAAACCCTAGCCACCTCCTAACTCTATAAATAGGCACCTATTCTCACCAAAAAGCTAATTCCAACACTTTGGCAAAAATCCCAAAATTCTCTAAACACTATTTCTCTCTAAATTCTAACTTTGGCATCAGAGGTTCTTCGGCCAAAGCCCCCCCCATTCATCGTGGGCGCGTGAGGCTCTTGGCCTTAACCTAAGGTGTTAATTGTTTTGTAGGTGCAAAATTGTCCAAGATCAAGGAGGAAGAAATTTGCATCCACAAATTGGTGCTTTCATTGAGAGTTGAAATCCATACTCGTAGAAGACTCTTGCACAAAAAGGTTTTTTTCTTTATTTTCTAGTCCATTTGAATATTTTTCATACGTTCTTATTATTAGAATTTTTTACTTGCAAAGGTTCTTTGATAAAACGTATAAGCAAAATATAATGGCTAGAAATTTAGAAAATTCCACAAGTGAAAATTCTAATGTTCAAGAAATGGGATTGCGGAGATCCGTGAGGCTAAATGCGACAATAAGGGGAGCGGCATCATCATCACGAGCTTCCACCATGGGAACCACCGTGGTGGCTACCTCGGTAGTCACCCGCGGCGAGGTCCATGGTGCCTTCACCACGGCCACCATGGGAACCACCGCGGTGGCTACTTCGGTAGCCACTCGTGGCAAGGTCCATGGAGCCTTCACCACGGCCCGGAGATCCGTGAGGCAAAATGCGACAATAAGGGGAGCGGCATCACCACCACGAGTTTCCACCATGGGAACCACCGCGGTGGCTACCTCGGTAGCCACCCACAGCGAGGTCCATGGTGCCTTCACCACGGCCACCATGGGAACCACCGCGGTGGCTACTTCGGTAGCCACTCGTGGCGAGGTCCATGGAGCTTTCACCACGGCCCGAGCCGTGCCATCCACGGCTCACGGTACCAAGACCACAATCCAAGCCGTGCCATCCAAGTTTACGTGGACCCAAGCCCAAGCCTCGCATTCACATGCACCGCGCATTGAGCAGCCTGCTTTCGTTGAGCAGCCCACTCCCGTGGCCCAGCCTGCTCTCGTGACCCAGCCTGCTCCCGACGAGCAGCCCATTCTCGTGGTCCAGCCTACTTCCATCGAGCAGCCCAATCCCGTGGCCCAGCCTGCTCCCGCCAAGCAACTTGCTCTCGCGGCCCAGCCTGCTCCCGCCAAGCAACTTGCTCTCGCAGCCCAGTCTGCTCCTGCCAAGCAGCTTGCTCTCGTGACCCAGCCTGCTCCCGACGAGCAGCCCACTCCCGTGGTCCAGCCTGCTCCCGACGAG